CCTAACCCTAACCCTAACCCTAACCTAACCTAACCCTAACCCTAACCCTAACCCTAACCCATGTGAGCATGTCAAGAAAGCGTACCGTCGACAGGGCTCGCTGGAGAGGAAGGGCGGGGTGGCCGAACACCTGCTCGGCCGAGCTCGGCTTGCGCACAGTGGCAGCACTGGGGCGGGTGGGTCCTGAATGATCATGTCAGCGATTGAGATGGCGCATGTGAGCATGTCAAGAGAGCGTACCGCCGAGAGGGGTCGCTGGAGCGGAAGGGCGGGGTGGCCGAACACCTGCTCGGCCGAGCTCGGCGTGTGCACAGTGGCAGCACTGGGGCGGGAGGGTCCTGAATGATCATGTCAGCGCTTGAGATGACCCATGTGAGCATGTCAAGAAAGCGTACTGCCGAGAGGGGTCGCTGGAGAGGAAGGGCGGGGTGGCCGAACACCTGCTCGGTCGAGCTCGGCGTGCACTACACGACATTCCCTGCGGCGGGAGGGCGCGAATGATGACTGTTACTGGTAAGCTGACATCCTGGAGCATGACAGCAGAACATTGGGCCATGCGGGACTGCTCCAGAAGCGGTCAGTGGCCGAACGCTCTGAATTGAGCCTTTGAAGCCACCCGAATGCAAGTAGCGGGTACGTACGTTCCCAGATTGGAGAACTAGTGTCATGATCGAGTCCGTTCCCTGGACCGCGGCACGACAGGAATTTCAGGATGCGGTGAATGTACCCTAACCCTAACCCTTAACCCTAACCCTAACCCTCACCTCGCCGACCGGCGTATGTTAAGTGCTGTGATTTTACGACCCTAAGTTCCAGCCCCCGAACCTAACCCATGTTACACGCTTCGAGGTTCGCTCGAATTAGGCTCGTATGTCGCGGCGCTGCACTACAGCGAACCTCGCGATGCAGGGACAGGCTAGTTGCAGGTGTGGTGGCGGAGCCGGCCCGGCACGCCAGTAACCCTAACCTAACCCTAACCCAACCCTAAGTCCACGTTGGGTTTTGTTTTCGATCCTCACTACCTCGTGTATGCAATAGTGGGAGTGGCAATGGGCCGACAGGATGGAAGGCAGGAGTAGCGACAGGAGGAGTGTAGCAGGTGCGATGATGAGAGATGTAGAACGCGCGCTGCGCGTGTCGCCACGCTTCGGGCTGGCATCTCGCCTAACCCTAACCTAACCCTAACTAATTGAGCTACTAACCCTAACCCTACGTTATGCTATTGAACGCCTCTGATAGGCAACCAGGAAATTTGATTGACCGCGTATCGACAGTCGCACACTTCGCCTGATAGTGTTTTTGGGCAACTCATTGAGTCCTAATCTCGCAAACAGCCAGAACCTCCCTGAACCGTGCTGTAGTGTACCGCTGCTGTGCAGACCGCGGTGTCTTGCAGCACTGCACGCCCCACCGATCTGCAGCGACTGATTTGCTGTAGCGCTGCGATCGCAACGAACTGCACTTGGCAGAGGAGCCCACGACCGCTTCGGCAATCGCTGAAGGGCGCGCGGATGCACAGAGGCCTTTGCGGCTCGGTCTGCGGGCGCCCGCATACGGCGCTTGCGCCAAGTACGAGCGCTATATTTTCTCCTTATCTCAGTTTCAATTATGAGTCAGACAGTGAAGAGCTCGGTACGGCAGGAACGTACCAAAAACATGTTCGCGCTGGGTTAGGTTCGAGTTAGGTTTGATGGGGATTGAATTTCATAGCGTCCCACGGCGGCTCGGGGCGCCTCCGCCTCGGCGCGTTTCGACGCGCGCCGTGCATCGATACGGAGGTCCTGGTATTCCCTTATTACTGGATTCTGGACTCTGATCTCTCGAGACCCTAATGCCCGTTTACAGTTTGGTAGTCCACAGATGGTAGCTGTATTCTTCCCCGTATTCAAAGGGAAGAAGAAATGTTCTGTAACCTAAGATCAAGCATGGCCTAGTGACCCTAACCCTAACCCTAGACCTAGACCTAAACTTAGGGTTAGGGATGGGGTAGAGTTAGGGTTATAACGACCAGAG